CTGGGATTACAGGCATGCGCCACCATGCCCAGCCAATTTTTTGTATTTTTGGTAGAGACGGGTTTTCACCATGTTGACCAGGATGGTCTCGATCTCTTGACCTCGTGATCCACCCGCCTCGGCCTCCCAAAGTGCTGGGATTACAGGCTTGAGCCACCGCGCCCGGCCTTTTTTTTTTTTTTTTTAAGGAGATGGGATCTCAATATGTTGCCTAGGCCAGCCTCAAATTCCTGGCCTTAAGTGATCCTTCTGCCTTGGCCTCCCAAAGTGTTGAGATTACAGGTGTGAACCACCATGCCTGGCTCCATATATGTATTTATTTTATAGTTGTCATTTGTGTGCAAGATTTTCATCAGCTCTACCCATATTTATTGAGGAAAGAAATGAAGATGGGAGGGAGGGGAGGAGAAGGGAAGGGAACAGAAAAGAAGGGAGGGGGAGGCCGGGTGCAGTGGCTCATGCCTGTAATCCCAGCACTTTGGGAGGCTGAGGCTGGTGGATCACCTGATGTCGGGAGTTTGAGACCAGCCTGACCAACATGGAGAAACCCCATCTCTACTAAAAATACAAAATTAGCCGGATGTGGTGGCACATGCCTGTAATCTCGGCTACTCGGGAGACTGAGGCAGAAGAATCATTTGAACCTGGGAGGCAGAGGTTGCAGTGAGCTGAGATCTTGCCATTGCACTCCAGCCTGGGCAACAAGAGGTAAACTCCATCTCAAAAAAAAAAAAAAAAACATGGAAGGGGGAAAAAAGAAAGGCAGGCAGGTGGGTGGGTGGGTAGATGGGTGGGAGGAAAGTATTGAGGAGAGGAAAACAAGAAGACGGTTTGGGAGAGATTCAGGGTCTTATTAACATTTTGGATCAAGGGCCTGGACAGTTTAAAACACCCTGTATTTCTTTCAAGCTTTGGATATGTGCTAATTTTCATGACTTACCTTATTCTGACCTTCCTTAGCCTTTTTGGAAATTTCTCTCCCTTGGCTGATAACTATCATGTTTCTCTCTTTACATTAGGGAATAAGAGCTTTGAGGTACAAGAATGAGACGGTGGTGGCAGAGAGCTGATATTGGTCAGGGTGGTCTTGGTCTCTAATTTTTAACTTCTCTCTCTGCTCTGTCCCTGTCCCAGATTGGACCCCTGATGCCCTCCTGAGTTTGAGGGGTAAATGTAAATCTTGTCTCATGACCTGGTAAGATGCCAGGAATCTATTTCTAAAACAGAAGTTGAATTTGGGCTATTCACATTGGGTTATCGTCTCTCAGGAAACAGTGCTATAGGACTGGAGGTCTAGACACCATCTTTTTCCTTATCTTTATGAGAGCCAAAGCACAAGAACCCACTGTGGCTTCATTCATTTGATAAACTTTCCTTTTCTTTGAGACGCTGTCTGGCTTTGTCACAAGGTTGGAGTGCAGTGGTGCAATCTCGGCTCATTGCAACCTCTGACTCCCTGGTTCAAGCTGTTCTCCTGCCTCAGCCTCCTGAATAGCTGAGATTATAGGCACATGCCACCACGCCCAGCTAATTTTTGTATTTTTAGTAGAGACGGGGTTTTACCATGTTGGCCAGGATGGTCTCGATCTCCTGACCTTGTGATCTGCCCATCTTGGCCCTCAAAGTGCTTGGATTACAGGCTTGAGCTACTTCACCTGGCCTTTTTTTTTTTTTCTTGAGGTGGAGTCTCGCTCCGTCACCCATGCTGGAGTGCGGTGGCCTCATTTCAGCTCACTGCAACCTCTGCCTCCTGTGTTCAAGCGATTCTCCTGCCTCAGCCTCCTAAGTAGCTGGAACTACAGGCACATGCTACCATGCCTGGCTAATGTTTGTATTTTTTTTTTTTTTTTTTTGAGACGGAGTTTCGCTCTTATTACCCAGTCTGGAGTGCAATGGCACGATCTCGGCTCACCGCAACCTCCGCCTCCTGGGTTCAGGCAATTCTCCTGCCTCAGCCTCCTGAGTAGCTGGGATTACAGGCACGCACCACCATGCCCAGCTAATGTTTTTTTTTGTATTTTTAGTAGAGACGGGGTTTCACCATGTTGACCAGGATGGTCTCGATCTCTTGACCTCGTGATCCACCCGCCTCGGCCTCCCAAAGTGCTGGGATTACAGGCTTGAGCCACCGCGCCCGGCCTAATGTTTGTATTTTTAGTAGAGACGGGGCTTTACCATGTTGGCCAGGCTAGTCTTGAACTCTTTCCCTCAAGTGATTTGTTCTCTTTGGCCTCCCAAAGTGTTGGGATTACAGGTGTGAGCCCCTGCACCTGGCCTTTATTGAGCATTCTCTTGGTACCTAGCATGATGATAGACACTAGGATTAGAGATGACTCATAGCACCAGCCTCAGAGAACTCACAGTCTAGTGAGAGAGCAAGTAGAAAAACCACTCATTTTAATCCAGTGTGATGGTATAGACATGGACGAAGTGTTATGGACATTTAGAGAACCATTATAGCATGTGGAAGACAGGACACCAACTTCCTTTGGGGCAAGGCCCATCAAGAGGTGTTTCACTTGAGCTCAGACTTGGAAGACTTTATAGGTTGGTGGGGGTTGTGATGGGTGATCCAACTTAAGCAAAAGTATGGAGATAAGAACGAACATGGTACAGTGGGGAGCGATGGGAAGTGCTATAGGACTGCAAAGAAAGGTATATGTGTATGAGAATGTGACAGGAGATGAGACTGGAGCCATGTAAAGGGGCCATTTTGTGGATGACCTTTGTTTTTTTTTGAGATGAGGTCTCACTCTGTCACCCAAGCTAGAATGCAGTGGTGTGATCTTGGCACATTGCTACCTCCACCTCCCAGGTTCAAGCAATTCTCCTGCTTTAGCCTGCCAAACAGCTGGAACTACAGGCATGCGCCACCACGCCTGACTAATTTTAGTAGAGATGTGATTTCACCATATTGGCCAGGCTGGTTTCGAACTTGTGACCTCAAGAGATCCACCCACTTCAGCCTCCCAAAGTGCTGGGATTACAGGTGTTGAGCTACTGCGGCTGGCCAGTGGATAACCTTTTCTACTTTTCCTAGATAAAAGGGATTGTCAGTAGAAGTGTTTTCATTTATCCAATGTTTGGTGTTAGTGTTTTTCTTACTGTTGTCTTGAGTAACTGAGTTTTATCACTTTTTATTTCTTTGTTCTTTTTTTTTTTAAATAAGGCTGTGGATGATTTTTCTTTTTATAATACCCAAATTTGGAGCTTTCTTTTTATTCCTCAGGTGATTCTGCTTTGAGTGTGATCTAGTCAAACCCTACACTCAGGCATTGTGGAATGGATGATACATTGCTTTTAAGGCAGTTTAGAAGGAGGAGGATTTAAATGACCTTCAAAGACTAATGTCAAGCCCCCATGTCAGTGTCACTGCAATTCACGCATGCATGGAGAATGGGAAAGGAACTTAATTATGGAGGAGGGGAATCGTAATCCTGTTTGAATGGATAGTTGAAAGTCCTGGGCCCGCCCCTAAGGCTCAGAAAAGGACTTTTTTACATTTGCTGCCAAGAGGTCAGAGGGAGAGTCCACATAAATACCATCCTCCCTTGGGGTGTGTGAGCCAGTTTTATTCTTTTACTTCCACAGGTGCAGAATAGGTTCACCAAATAGTATTCTGATCTCCATTGAGCAGAATCTGGCATCAATATTGTCCTTCTCTAGAAAATCAATCCCTTTAAACCATGGAATGTGGCAATTTTAGGTCAGCAGGCATTTAAAGACACCTTTTTAACTTTCATGGGCTAGCCTAATAGGATATATTTTTTACAAAATGCCAGTGTTATCAAGATGAAACTTGAATCATTTAAATTTTGCTAAGGACTTAGTTTTAGCTACTGGTGTACCTTTTACCTGTGAAATTACTTCTTATTTTCTTTAAATGGTGCCGTCCCTCTGGAGAACTGTGATCATCATCAGGTATCAGGCTTCATTCCTTCAACTAACCTTTGGTAACTGTTTGGAATCCATTAGTGTTTGAGATGAGGGAGCCCACAGCAACCCGTGTTACTGTTACTATCTTTTCGGACCATAAAATAACTTTCCATAGTTAGGCTGAATGACTGCAGAAACTAGTGCCTTATGTAGTCAGGAGCTGCTGCAACATAGCTACAATCTGAACAACGAAAGGAATTAATCACAGCCAGCTTCATGCATTTCATTAATTTCTTTTGCCAAATGGTATCAGTGAGGCAGAGGTACACCTTTGGCTCATTAATACAAGGTCTGAACTGGAAAAATCTATTTCAGTGAAATCCTTGAGAACTGCTGAAAACACATGATATGTCTTAGTACTTTAAATAGAACTGTTCTAATTTGGAGGGAAATTGCTGTACAAACATGGCTCCAGTTGATACCTTCACAGCATATCTATTCATACCGCTCTTGTTACTTCTGAATTTTGGAAAAAGTTATGTGTTAATATAAATGTAATTTCATTTTTATAAATATATATTCGTATCTTAAAATAATACTCATTGATCGATTTTAGTAGGAGAGCTCCATCTTCTTAATTACTCATTTATGTAAGTTTCTTCCCTCCATCCTAGAAGACAGTCTACAGACTGTGCCAAAGCCCATTTTCAAGGCAGTTTATAGGGATTTAGTTATGCAATTTGTTTACTGTTGGTCACCAAGAAAGTAAAAATGGAAGAACCAGAAGGCCACTGAGGGAAAATATTATAAAAGCACACTCCAGGGGCTAGAGACGAGAGAGCAAGAAGAATCCTTGAGGGTGATCCCAGGGAGCTATGATTTTTAGTAACAGAATAGAAATTAGGTAATGGAAAGTTTAGGCTACTGTACCAAAGACATTTCTTCTTCTTTTTTTGTTTTGAGACAGGCTCTTACTCTGTCATCCAGGCTGGAGTATGCTGGCACAATCTTGGCTCACTGCACTCTCCAACTCCCAGGCTCAACCAACCTCAGCCTCTTGAGTAGCTGGGACTACAGGTGTGTGCCACCATGCCTGGCTAATTTTTGTGTTTTTTGTAGAGATGCGGTTTTGCCATGTGATCCTCCTGCCTCAAGTGATATACCTGCCTCAGCCTACCAAAGTGCTGGCTGGGATTTTAGGCGTTTCTTCTAACAGTTTGTCTTGGAGTTGTCTTTGCAAGTAAAGCTTTTGTGATTATTGGAATGCTATAGAAGTCATTAGGCTTCTTGTCCCACTAAAGCATTAGAATTTAAAACAGACCCTTTAACATGATTTATAGCAGACAAGAAATACCAGTTCAGTTTGGGCAGGTGGTATTTAATTGTCCCTCTTTACAATCCCTCTAAAATTGTTTGTGGGTGAAACAAAAATCCGTAAAGAACAGCTTTATATATATTTTGAAAGAGATATCAGTTTCTTGCATTTTTCTAAGTCAAAGGTTAATTTAAAATATTAATGCTGAAAAGATTAAGATATTAAATCTAGGCAAGAATACATGTACATATTGTAATTACTTCCTTTTAAAATTAAAGTAATTGGATTATATTTAATGAGCTATTTACATTTAATAATTAAAAAAGACTTACTTTTCAGTATTCCCTATATACAGAAAGATGGGAGAAATTTCACTTACGATATAATTATCTTAAATTGGGCTAAATAGGAAAAACAACTGTGCTTTTTAGAAAAAAGGGTCAGAAGAATATTATATTAAAATATACAAATTAGGAATTACCTATAGGAGTGTGTTTTGGTTCATTGTAAAAGAAGATGAAAGATCAAGTGCTTAAAAAAAAAAATCCCTGATGAGAAGATTTGATGAGCTGAACACAAAATGAAACTTAAAGTGATTCTCAGGGACCCTGTAGATAAAAGTAACCTGTCAGAAGTGACGGAACCCCTAATGCCTAGCTGTTTGAAAACAGGAGTTTGTTTGAAAAGCAGTAGCATCTGAACATGTTATCTGAGGCTGGCACTTTAAATAAGCCTGTGTTTATGTTGTTTAAAGGAAAGATGTGAAGCCTCAGAGCATCTGGCTAAAATTGGATGCAGAGAGGGAGAAAGCAGTGTGTTACACTCATTAACACCATTTCAGTTTTAGGGTAAATAGGAAGACTTTCATGTGTTAGCATGCAGTCTTTTTTCCATGAGAAAGAAACTAGTCTTTTGGTGGGACTTCTATATAAAGATAAGAAGTTTGGGCATATTTGTCTAACTAACTTCTTAGTTTGAGTGTTTTGTGGAGAGTTAGTGTGGTGTGATGGAAAGAACATGAACTTCAGACACAGTTGGACCTGGGTTTGAAAGCTGTCTGTGTGACTTTCATAAAGTTATGAATCACTCTGGGTTTTGGTTTTCTCATCTGTAAAATGAAAATATACTACTTAACTTGGAAATTTGTTTGGAGGATTAGAAATATTCAAGAAGGTGTGAATAAATATCTGGCACATTTCAGGAATTTAACAAGTATTTATTGAACAGACACTGTAGGATGAAAAGAAATTTTAAGAATCCTACTTTGTCTCCAGATAGTGGCTGTTGCTACTACTACTTTCTGTTAGGTTTAAAGATATTTTGTTTTTCAATTCCTGTATTCAAAGAGTTGTATACCCCAAAAATCTGTGCTATAAAATAGAATGTAGTGACTGCTATAAGAGAGGTTCAGCATACCTCATTGGCACTTGGAGAGAGGAAAATGACTTCAGACTAGAAGAGTCAGGGAAGGAGTCTTAGAAGTGGTGACATTCACCCCAGGCTTTTAAGATAAAAGGATTGTTTGTGTGTTTTTATATAGAAATACCACAATCTAGATAATAGTCTCTTGGAGAATGTTTTGCCTTCAAAGTAAAGTGAAAATATTGGATTGACCCTTGACTGTGATTTGGAAGACTGATGCCCTTTGTTGTAATCCTTAAAATTGTTATAATGTAAGCAGAGGCCATCCATCTTTTTCAGTATTTGTCTCCATATTCCTGAAGAGCCTGTCTCAGAAGGCAAGAGGTCCACCTCCTTGGCCTCCACTGAAACCAAATAAAAGAGGACCATTTAGGAACACCTTTAGGTAATGCTCATTGTTGCTTAATTTGACCTGCTCTCTTTAGATTATTCCATTACTAGGAGGGAGGTCCATATAAACTCATCATTCCTTCGAGTTAATAATAATGAGAGCCCTCAGTTACTGAGTACCTACTGGATGCTGGGTAACCCTCTGGAATGCTTACATATGTTATTACATCTTATCCTTGGAACTATCCTAGGTTGGCCATGGTGGTTTATGCCTGTAATCCCAGCAACTTTGGGAGGCTGAGGTGGGAAGATCACTTGAGCCCAGGAGTTTGAAACCGGCCAGGGCAACATAGCAAGACCCTGTTCCTACAAAAACTGAAACATTAGCTGGGCATGGTGCTGCATGCTTCTAACCCCAGCTACTTTGGAGGCTGAGGTGGGAGGATTGCTTGAGCCCAGGAGACTTGAGGCTGCATGAGCCACACTCATATCACTGCACTCCAGCCTGGGTGACTGAGCCAGACCCTGTCTCAAAAAAATAACAACTGTAGTATTAGTGGTTTGTATTTTCCCCATTTTTCGGATGATGCTCGGAGGGATGGACTACCCTAAGGTCATATAGCTAGTGACTCAAGGAATCCTTGCTTTCTTTGTCTGAATATCCTTCTGGGTTTACCGAGCTATACTGATTGATTGATTGATTGATTGATTGATTTTTAATTTTTCTTATCTTATTCTCTGCTTTTGGCATTGAAGGAATATGTATTTATTTTTTGAGATGGAGTTTCACTTTTGTTGCCCAAGATGGAGTGCAATGGCATGGTCTCGACTCACTGCAACCTCCGCCTCCTGGGTTCAAGCCATTCTCCTGCCTTGGCCTCCCGAGTAGCTGGGATCATAGGTGCCCGCCACCATGCCCGGCTAGTTTTTGTGTTTTATTAGAGATGGGGTTTCACCTTCTTGGTCAGGCTGGTCTCCAACTCCTGACCTCAGGTGATTTGCCCACCTCAGCCTCCCAAAGTGTTGGGATTACAGATGTGAGCCACTGTGCCTGGCCTTTCTTTTTTCTTCTTCTTCTTTTTAAAAGAGCAAGTGTCTTGCTGTGTTGTGCCCAGACTGGATTCTCACTCCTGGGCTCAATTGATCCTTTTACCTCAGCTTCCCAAGTAGCTGGGACCACAGGTGCATGCTATCACACCTGGCTAATTTTTTATTTACTTATTTATTTGTATAGAGACAGGGTCCTACTCTATTGCCCAGGCTGGAGTTCAGTGACCCAATCATAGCTCCCTGCAGGCTCGACTTTCTGGGCTCAGGCAATCCTCCCACCTCAGCCTCTAGAGTAGCTGGAACTACAGGCTCTCAGCACCATGCCTGGCTATTGTTTTGTTTTGTTTTGTTTTGTTTTGTTTTGTTTTGTTTTGTTTTGAGACAGAGTCTTGCTCTGTCACCCAGGCTGGAGTGCAGAGGCGCAATCTCGGCTCACTGCAATTTCCACCTCCCAGGTTCAAGCGATTCTCCTGCCTCAGCCTCCTGAGTAGCTGGGATTTACAGGCACATGCTATCACACTCACCTGATTTTTGTATTTTTAGTAGAGACAGGGTTTCATCATGTTGGTCAGGCTGGTCTCAAACTCCTGAATCATGGTCTGCCCGTCTTGGCCTCCCAAAGTGCTGGGATTACAGGTGTGAGCCATTGCACCCCGCCCTCTGGCTAATTTTTTCTGTTTTTTTTTTCAGTAGAGACGAGGTTTCTCCATGTTACCCAGGCTGGTCTCAAACTCCTGGGCTCAAGCAGTCTGCCCATCTCAGCCTCCCAGAGTGCTGGGATTGTAGGCATGAGCCACCATGCCTGGCCTATTTTTATTTTTAATTTTTAACTTTTGTAAGTACATAGTAGTTGTATATATTTATGGGATCCAGCATATTTTAAAATTTTTTTGTAAAGATAGGGTCTTCCTATGTTGCCCAGGCTGGTTATATTGATTGTTTATTTATTTTATTTACTATTTTTTGTTTTAGAGCTGAAGTCTCACTTTGTTGCCCAGGCTGAAGTGCAATGGAACACTCAGTTATGGCTTGAACTCCTGGGCTTAAGGGATCCTCTTGCCTCAGCCTCCTGAGGAGCTGGGACTACAAGTGCACACCACTGAACTCAGCTGAGTTTTTCATTGTTTATAGAGACAAGGCCTTGTCATTTTGCCCAGGCTCGTCTCAATCTCCTGAGCTCAAGGGATCCTCCCACCTTGGCCTCCCAAAGTGCTGGGATTACAGTCATGAGCCACCACTCCCAGACAGTATGTATTTGTACATCCAGACATACATAAACATAGAAAAGGGGCTGGGGGGGGTGGCTCACTCCTGTAATCCTAGCATTTTGGGAGGCTGAGGTGGGCAGATCACTTGAGCTCAGGAGTTCGAGACCTGCCTGGCTGACATGGCGAAACCTCATCTATACCAAAAATACAAAAAATTAGCTGGGCGTGGTGGCACGTGCCTGTGGTCCCAGCTACTCAGGAGACTAAGGTGAGAGGATAGCTGGAGCTCAGGAAGGGGAGGTTGCAGTGAGCTGAGATCACGCCACTTCACTCCAGCCTGGGTGACAGAGTGAGAACCCCATATCAAAAAAAAAAAAAGAGGGTTATGATCTCCATCATGGTCCATTATTGACTGAAACATTGTTATGTAGTACATAACTGTATTCTCTTGTAAGTCCGAGTTGTAGAATGCATTTTAGGGTTAGAGAGATTTTTTCTTTTTTTTTGAGACAGTCTCGCTCTATTGCCAAATTGCAGTGCAGTGGCATGATCTCTGCTCACTGCAACCTCCGCCTCCCAGGTTCAAGTGATTCTTCTGCCTCAGCCTCCCGAGTAGCTGGGACTACAGGTGTGCGCCACCACACCCGGCTAATTTTTGTATTTTTTAGTAGAGACAAGGTTTCACCATTTTGCCAGGATGTCTCAATCTCTTGACCTTGTAATCTACCTTGGCCTCCCAAAGTGCTGGAATTACAGGCATGAGCCACCACACCCGGCCGGTTAGAGAGATTTTTTTTAAAGACCACCCTGTCCACCTTCTGAGGCTGGAGGATTTTTTGAGCTCAGAAGTTCATGGCTTCAGTGCATTATGATTGTGCCTATGAAGGGCCACTAAATTTCAGCCAGGTAACATGGTGAGACCTTGTCTCTAGAATAATATGTTTATATTTTATTGACTCTGAGGTGTACATTTTTTTCCTCACATTTTAACATCGCTCTCTCGACACCCAGGCTAGAGTGCAGTGGTGCAATCACTGCTCACTGCAGCTTTGATCTCCTGGGCTAAAACGATCCTTCCATATCAGCCTCCTGAGTAGCTGGGACTACAGGTGTGCATCACCACATTCAGCTAATTTTTGTATTTTTTGTAGAGATGGGATTTCTCCACATTGCCCAGACTGATCTCAAAAGCCTGAGTTCAAGTGATTCACTCGCCTTGCCTCCCAAAGTGCTTGGATTACAGGCATGAGCCACCATACCCACTCCATTTTAACATCTCTTGAATTATAATGCCTCTAAAAATAAGTGGCATCTTAGATTTGATGAAATAGGGTAGAAATCCACTGGAATTGTGAATTTTCCATAAATACTGTGGTAAAGCTCAGGACTTCTGTTTATCATATTAGCTCTCCTTGAAAAACCTTCCCCTCTGTTTTTCACATTCACTTCTACCCAGTTCAGATCTTGGGTTTGGGGTCTTTGTTTGTTTTTTTGAGACAGTCTCACTGTGTCTCAAAGGCTGCAGTGCAGTGGTGCAGATATTGGCTTATTGCAGCTTCAACCTCCTGGATTAAAGTAATTCTCCTGCCTCAGCTTCTCAAGCAGATGGGACTACAGGTGTGTACCACCACACCTGGCTGATTCTTAAATTTTTTTGTAGAGACAGGGTCTTATCATGTCACCTCGGCTAATCTCGAACTCCTGGACTCAAGCAATCCTCCAATTTGGCCTTCCAAAGTGCTGGGATTACAGGCATAAACCACTGCACCCAGCCCCAGTTTAGATCTTTAAGGTTCCAGAGAGTCTGTTCAGTCCCTTCAGTTCACAGTGATCTTTTCATCCTTTCTATTGTCATCGTTGAGTACATCATTCATTTGATAATTGAACTACTATTTATTTGCTATATTGTTACTTAACTGTGGTTTTATCTGTCTCCTCAACTAAATTATAAGCTCCTGGAGTCAAGAAAGAGATTTTATACTTCCTTGTATCTTTTAGTGTCTTCTTGATAAATATTCAGTGATTGATAAGAGTGCTATAATTAGTAGTTAACCATTAATACAACCTGCAGCTTATTAAGACAGTATTGTAAAATGGTTAAAAGAACCATATATAGAACATTTAGAACAGTGCAAGTGCTAGGTAGATGTTAATCATTCTGCTACTACTACCACCACCACCACTACCATTAAACTACTATTATTCCTACTGTTATTTTAATTATTTTGTGCCAGGCACTGGGCTAAACATTTTATACACGCACTATTTCATTTTTTTCACAATGGCTTTACAAACTAGGGGTCATAATAATTTAACACGCTAGGAAATAGACTGAGAGATCAGACTGCTTGCTAAGGTTCCAGAGCTAAAATGTGGCAATGGTAAAGTGAAGCCCACACCTATGTCTCTTAATGTTCATGCTCTTGCCCTGCCCACTGCTTACCAGATTTTTAGGCTTTGGCAACTTCAAAGTAAACTGAGGTTCGAAAGGAAAGAACAGATACTTATTTTTCCCACTGCTCAAGGACTTTTGCTTGTAAGTCTCATGCTTTGAGTGCTGACTAGACCTTGTGAGAGAAAGTAAAGGTACAGCTGCCCTTTGCTGCGACTTTTAGTCAGTTGCAGGTGGCTTGGCCATTACTGACAGATGTATGTGTGATACTTTTTCGGGAATTCTAGTTAAAACTGGCTATTGGATAGTTCATACGGAATTACATGGCAGTTTGCTCCATAATTCCATTCCCTGTCTCACATGCAGTTGTGATTGCCTGGTCTCTCTTCTCACTTAAGTTGGTGT